GATTAGCAGGAAAAGCGGGCTAAGTTTGTTGGTTTTTTTTATAAATAGCGAAAAGCTCAGCTTTTGGTTTTAAAGTTGCTGGTTACAGGAGAACTCCCCTCAGAGTTTGTGTCCGTGCTCTCTGAGAAGCTGTTCTAGGGAGCGTGGTTTTCTCACATGCTGGCAATTGCTTAACAAAGCTGGATATTGGTTCGTTCTCTTGTGCTGGAGCAATGTCAGCTCAGCATTCACCAAAGGCGAGCAGGGGCATTGAACCCTGTGTGCTACATCCAGCCTCACCTCTGCAGGCTCACAAAACTTTCTGCCTTTATACCTCAGGAGCTTTATATTGATTTTCTATTCCTCCTGGAAGAAATGTTAAAGCAGGCTTGTCAGTGGGTGAAGATTTGCTTCGTTCTCTTGTGCTGGAGCAATGTCAGCTCAGCATTCACCAAAGGCGAGCAGGGGCATTGAACCCTGTGTGCTACATCCAGCCTCACCTCTGCAGGCTCACAAAACTTTCTGCCTTTATACCTCAGGAGCTTTATATTGATTTTCTATTCCTCCTGGAAGAAATGTTAAAGCAGGCTTGTCAGTGGGTGAAGATTTGCTCTCAGGAGACTGGTATTCTGGAGCGTGTTCAGAGAAGAGCCACAAGGATGGGGAGGGCTCTGGAGAACAAGCCTGATGAGGAGCGGCTGAGGGAACTGGGGTTGTTTGGCCTGGAGAAGAGAAGGCTGAGGGGAGACCTCAGCACCACCTACAACTGCCTCAAGGGAGCTTGTGGAGAGGTGGGTGCTGGGCTCTTCTCCCAGGTGATGGGGGATAGAACAAGGGGAAACGGCACCAAGCTGTGCCAAGGGAGGTTCAGGTTAGAGCTAAGGAGGAAGTTCTTTACTGAGAGGGTCGTCAGAAGCTGGCACAGGCTGCCCAGGGAGGTGGTGGAGTCACCATCCCTGGATGTGTTTAAGGAGCGGGTAGACGAGGTACTTAGGGATATGGTTTAGGGGGTAGACAGGAACGGTTGGACGTGATGATCTCAGAGGGCTTTTCCAACCGAGCCATTCTGTGATTCTGTAATGAGATATGAAGGTACGTCTTCCTAGATCGCAGGTTCAGATTGCGTCTGGCTCAGGAGATCCCTGGCCTCGTGACTGGACTGCTTGTTCGTAGTGACTGATGTGTGGCAGTGGAGAGAGCAGGTGTTTCCACCCTCTTTGCAGCAGTTGGTTTCAATCTCGCTGTTGTGCAGGCGTGTACCTTAATAGAGAGGTTAACCACTGGTGTTTTGGTCGCTTCAGTTTACTCTGGTGTGATCTTTCTAGAGCCGTTCTGACCTGGCTGTTCTCTTGTATGAAACCAGAGAGCTTCAGTGGCTGGGGCTGCTGGCCTTCAAGCTAAACTCATTTATACATTTGTGCTTGGGCTTTTCTTAGGAGTCTGCACAAACACCTTTGCAGCTGGGAAACCCAGGCTTGAGAAATTGAAACGCCTTGGCTGTAATCATCCTGTCCCAGGCTTGAGCTCTGCCCGCAGGCCACGCTGTCTCCAAAATCCCTACCCCAGAACCAACTGAAATGGAAACAGGAGTCAAAAGAGTGGGCAGCTGTTACATTTATAGCCCTTCTGCGAGCACTGCAGTTGTCTTTGTTTGCCATGCCAGAGTCTGTCGTGTGAGAACTACAGCACCCAACCTGTGACACTTCAGGAGGTCTTGGGGGCCAGCATTGCCTGCAAACATCATCTTTCTGTACAAGCTGACAGAGGTAGCAGTGTCTGTCCACCTCCGGTTTAAATGTGACCCGCAGGTTCTTGTCAGGCTGTTTGCACTGTCAAAAGAAGAGTAAAACTCGCCGTGCCCGATGGTGAAATGGCACCATTTGTAGTAACTCAGTGTGTAGATGGGAGGTTAGCTGTGCAGGGAACTGGTCTTTCTTAGTAAGAGTTTGCTGCTCTTGAAAACCAGTACAGTTTCGGGAATTCGGGTTCCTCTGTTGCCTTTCAGGTGGCGAAAATGATGTAAGCTCAGACATGAGAAGGTGTTTTCCTTGGCTTGCCTGGCAGAAAGCAAGGGAAATGCCAAAGTAGGCATTTGAAGTCTGAGACAATGCTGCCCAGGCTGTGGGCTCAGAGCTGGTTTTCGAATGTGCAGTACTCCTGCCGTGCTTGTTCACATAATTGTTCCTCGTAAACAGCAGTTCTAGCTCTCCTGGCTGTTGTTTTAGGGTAAAACCTGCTGTCAGGTTGGTTTGTGCAGTTTCAACTCCCCCCTTCTGGAAGGTTGTGCTGTGAAGACTGACGTATCAGTGTACCAAGCACTGTAAATGACAGCTGTTTGGGTTTTTCCCTGTTGCCTGGGTAAGACCATGCTGTTGTAGGCAGCTGATGATTACCATAAAATGACTTCACTTGCGACCCACCAGACTAGCAGCTTGACACACGAAGCCTTCTCCTTCGTTCTAGTTGTTCATTACATTTTATGGTGTTCGGTGTCTAGAAGACCAGTTTACCAATGTTCATCATTAAAAACAATTTGTAAGGATTTATGAGATCCTGGTGCCAACACCAGAAAAAACAAACCCGTGTATGAAATTATCAGTCACTTTAAATTGACAGGGCTTTTCTGCCTTGAGGAAAGGTGGCCACAGCTATACATGAAATATGTTGTCTGACAAGCTCTTCATCACCTGAGAAAGTTCTGGTGCCAGTAATGGCTTTAGTGATCCTCATTTTAATTCCTCAGAAGCTAAATGTGTCCCATCTGGGAAAACTTCCTTCTCCTGCTTGCTTTTTAAAATAAATCTATTAACCCGCTTTGTTGTTTTGCACAGTGCTGTGAGATTTAGGAAGATGGAATTATTTCTTTCCCATTTAGAGGCTTTTAAAACTGGCTTCTTATTTACAGCATGAGTTTTAGGACTAGGAAAACCGTGCCAGAAGACTGGATTTGCTACCGAGGAGAAAGCAATGAAAACAGGTCGTTCTTGGAACAGCCAAGGCAGTGAAACCCGGCGTGGTTGGTGTATAAATGTCAGCCTGGGGTTTACTGCTGACGCCTGCTGAAACTCCGCAGGCGTCTGTAGCTCTTTCCTATGTGGACTTTTGGTCTGTAATGAAGAATGATCCTGTGGTGCTGGTTTTCCCTTAGCTGGGGTGTGTGCAAGCGGGGAATGGGACCCTGGCTGAAACAACCTAGGTTTTTGTGGTGGTTACTCTCATTTCAAATCTGATTGGAGTGGGGTTGCCACGTTGCTTGTCTGGTTTTGGTGACGCTTGTAGGTAGTGGCTGTGGGACATCCTGAGGTCTTGTTATATCCACACCGAGAGCACTTAGCAGAATCCCAAACAGCAGCAGAGACATCCTGAGCCTTCAGAGAGGCAGCTTTGAAGATGGCAGTGGGTAGCTTGAATGTGGGGGATATTCTGATTTTTGTCCTGTGAACACTAAAAACGGCATTAAACTGATGGATATGTTTATGGGCTGAACTGTTCAGCTTTCCAAGTAGTATTTTCCTGTATTCTCGTAGCAGTTAAACAAGATGATCAGCCAGTTCCATTCTGAATGAAAAGAGGGGAAGGCAGTGTTCAAACAATCTCTTTTTTTTCCCTTCTTATGGCACTTAAGTAATTTCTTAGCCTTCCTCACGAGCAACACCAAAGTAAATCTGATGCCTGTCAGCCATCTCTCGCTATTGGAGACTAGCCACACACAAATGGTTGCACTTCTATCCCCTAGAACGTATATAATTAAATCTGGTCTTGCGATGGAAGAGAGAGAGAGACCAAGAAAGCTCCTGAGCAGGAGCAGAGGCTGATTAATATGGATTATTAGAGAGTGCTGATTGAAAGGCTGCAGCTGTGATTGCTGTAGCGGGGAGAAGGGAGCAAGGTCTCAGTGCTTGTCATGGTGTCTGCCAGGTCTTGCCTTCAGTTTACTCTAACAAAGATGATTTCTATGTGCTACTGCATACCCCCAAATCAGCCACTGCACCCCAGCACCCATCTGTGGTTCTCTAAGGGGACGTTCCTTCTGCCATCCCTGACAGATCTCAACCATAGCAGCTTAAGCCTTGAAGATGAGCTGGCAGGTTTTCCCGAGCTCCTCCCCAAAGCTGTGTGCTTGACTGAGAAGCCAACCTGACAGGTACAATTTAATTTTGTTCTCGTTCTCTGTTACAGGCGACTGCGATGTCAGTGGATTGCCTGGGACAGCGCGCAGTACTCTCGGGGTGAGTGTGACAGTCCCCATTAGAAGTGTGTGACAGTCATTTCCACAAGCCAAATCAGCAACCTTCAGGCTGACCTCAATTGAAGGGCTGATGTATTGTTTCGGAAAGGTGCAGCTGAATTCTGTTCAAGGCTTGATGAGAAGGATTCTGGGTCACATTTCCAGTGGGATACAGCGTGGAAAGCCAGCAGCAGCAGCACAGTAAAATACGGGCTTTCCTGATGCACTTGGAGCACCTTGAAGTACTGATTGGATTCTGCTTGAAATACAGATTAAATAATTTCCTTAAGGCAAAATTTGCCCCTAATATTCCCATGGTGTATTTGGGCAGGGGAGCCAGGCTCTCTGACCTGCTTCTCTGCTGGTTCAGTGTGGGGTGATCCTCAACACAAGCAGTAGGTGCCATAGACTCCAAGCTGCCATTATGTACCCACCTCCAGGGCAAGTCTTCAAAACAGCTCAGCAGTTGCCTGCCCAGCTGCTGCCTTTCAGCACCAACAGCTATTCCTGTCCCTCTGTCAGTGACACAATTACCACACTAATTAGGATGTTCACTTCAAATTCAGGATTGCACGGGTGCAGCTGCCCTTTGGGGTGCTTAGAAGGATACAGATCCATTGATATAGCTCAGAGACCTGCTCACTTTCTTGCAGACCCTTAGGCTGGCAGCCCTATACAGCAGTAACCAGCTCAGGAGCTGGTTCGTGTCTACCTTGATGCCCCTTCCTCCTTACACCGGCCTAGTTTCACGGCTTGCTTATTTGGGCCAACAGTGAGCTGAGGACAGCCTGTCTGCAATTCAACATCAGGTCCGTGGCCTTTTCAGGCTTCTGCGTGCTCAGCAGCCCTTCAGGGGGCTGTCTTTTTGGGTTTTTTTTAAGGCTAAGTGAGAGCCTCAGAGGTCTCAGCATCTTCACTCTTGAGAGCAGGGAGCCCTGAGGACTTTGTTCTGGGAAGGCAGCAAAGATGCTCTTTGTGTTCCTTCTCTGGGAAAATACACAGTGCTCAGAGCAGCTGTGTGCTTGCTACGCAGCTGACATGTGTGGTGCTGGTGTTGCTGATTATATATGGTTCAAGATGTTTTGGTGCTGGTCTTCCACCGGAGTTCAGCTGGCTCACAGTTATTTCTGGGTGGTTTATCTTGCTTGTAAGATCAATCACACTGTGGAGGGAATATCTTCCCTAGCTTTGTGGGGAGCTGGCCACATCCGGCAGGAGGTATGAGCTCAGGTTTAGCATCATACAAATATATCTCTGCAGCATACAGGGTTAGCTCAGGTAAGTAACACAGCTAGATCAGTGCAGTGCTGTGTCCACCCACGTTAATAAGCTGCTACGGCTGAGCTAGCGATGTTCAGGTGTCGCTGCACTCTTGGCAGAACCAAGCCCCCCAGACTGTGGTGTGAAAACACGCAGCCATGTAGAATCATCTTAGGTTTGTCAAGGCTCATTAACGCTTGCTCAGAGCAACCTCTCCAGACTGAAGCTGGCTCCTTTGAAGCCGCTGTGTCGCATTCCCAGCCCTGAGCCACCTCAGCTCTGCTGCAGCATTAGGCGAGCGAAGCGTATTTGGATGTGTTTGCACCATTTCCCCACACTTCGTTTTGTGTCCTGGTTATCTGGGGTTTCCTGTGGTCTGAGCTACCCATTACATTTGCAGATCTTGTCTATTATTTTCAATGTGTCTTTTCATTTTGTTTTTGAAATGTGGACTTTTTTGAAGTATGTGGTGAAATGTAGCATTCTCGGGAATAGTATCTTCATCTGTCTCGTCAAATGCCTCTCTTTTTGGGTCCTCTAGGCCCAAGGCTGTGAGCTCCATGTGAGCTCGGGGTTTTGAGATCAGTCCTGTGTGACACAGCCCCTTTGTGTCTCTATGTCTTGCAGCCGCCGTTTCCTCTACATTGTCAACCTGGATGCACCAAATGAGGGTCATCGCAAGATCTCCCGACAGAGCAAGTGGGACATCGGCGCGGTGCAGTGGAACCCACACGACAGCTACGCGTACTACTTTGCAGCTTCGGTAAGTTCACTCATTTAAGAGCTGTAACTCATCATCTTCCCTGGTCTTTCACGGGTGGAATCCTGCAGGCTTGGAAGGCTGTATGGGGCTGGCACAGGCATGCCCCTGCAAGTCACTTTGCAAGATCAAGGCCTAACTCTGATTTTCTGCCAGTGAGGTATTTGGCTTAATGGTTCTCAGTTAGCGGTTGGTCAGTGCTGAATCTAGTTTTGCTTGCTTGTCTTTTATAAAGCACTTTGCCAAGTAAATTAGGTATCCAAATGGTCCTTTTCTGGAAGGAAGAGGGGATGTGCTCTCTTTCCAACTTCCATTCTGTTATGAGATTTGTGCAGTTATTGAATTTCTTGCTCTCTGCTGTTTTGTTTTCACCTCCCTGCCTTCCTGGTGGGATGTGGTGCAGCAGGCAGGCTGTAAATAGCACAAGTCAATACTGGCTCACCGCTGTAACGACCTAGGTTTGCAGATGGGCAGGGACTAAGTCAGTGAGGAGTTCTTATTCAGTGTGTGAAGAAGTAAATAGCCTGGTCTGAAGAAGCAGTAGTGGCCATCTGAGACTCGAGTGCAGTTTTTAGCTCTGATCTTTACACAGTCTATCTGTGCTTGTGGCTCTGTCTGTGCTCTGTGGCTTGTTCACTCAGAGCCCTGAGCTGCTGCTAGCAGCATTCTTAGCCATCAACCACAGCGCTGCAGCAACCAGCACAGGCCAGACGCAGGCTGTTCTCATGGTGAGGTGCCTTTGCTGCTTCTATAGCCTGAGAGTGCTGGAATAGCTGGGAGTGAAGAGATTTAATTTGGGGTTTTTTTGAGAAAACACTTAGCTGAAGGTGAATTCCTGGGAATTTTGTTCCTTTTGCTTCCTGTACTGGCTACAAGAGAAATGAAAGGCCATTTAAAAAGTGGACCAGTGTTGTCAGTCTTCGCTTATTTGCTCCCTGACGTTCCTCAGCCTTTCTTCTCCCAGCTCAGGTACATGACTGGCATCTTAAAGGTGCCTTCAGCAGCTGTCTGCTTCTGAGTGGAGAGTTAATAAAACTTGCAAAAAAGGTATCCTTCAGTGCCACTTCTGAATGCAGTCTGTGAAAGTCAAAACCAAATAAGGAAAGGTGCTGTGCAGGCTGTGAGTAGAGCAGGAAAGCTGCTTTTCAGGCACGCTCTGAAAGCAGTGGTCGGTTAATGGTGATCTGAGCTCCCCGCTGCAAAGAGGAGCTGTGCCCACCTCGTCCATCTGAGCACTCTTGCTGCCCTGAGCAGACACAGGAACTTCCAGACTGAAAATAAGTGTAGCTGGCATCAAACTGTGCTGCTCCTGCTTATAAATGAAGATGCTAAAATGTTCTGGCAATTTAGTTGCAGTTGCTGACTCACATCAGGTGAGGAATCCCCAAGGTGAGATCAGGCAGCTTTTCAGGTTTGGGTCAGAAACACCTCCTTTCCAGCCGTCTCACAGATGGCAGATGTTTTGGTGCTGATGCATTACAGCCCCATCCTAGGACTAGAATTTACCCTGGCTTTTTTAGAAGTGGAAAGCAGAATTAAACCATGTGCTCAGGTGTCCGTGTCCCAGGTCAGGTCTGGAGGCAGTGTGGATGTGTTTGAGGCCCATACGGAAGGAGGCAAAGGTGCATTGGAAAGGCTACATCAGCTTGAATTCAGCACTGTGAATATGTGATTTGCTACTACTGGACTCGAGCTGGCTGTCAGTTCCTCACGAGTCCGCTGTTGAAATCACCGTATTTTCAGGTATACCATGCAGGTGTTGTAGACAGCCCTGAGGATCCTGTCCCTGTGGACGGAAAGGAATTGTACAAGGCTACCATCCTGCTTGCCAGCAGCTTCACCTGGTTTGCAGTGCTGTCAATTGGAAGCAGTGCAGACAGAGGGGAAGTCTGTCCTTGTGTTTGGATAAGGGCTTCTTTTCAGAACAGCTGAAACACGTCTTCTTGCTGGGCTTGGCTGTGTCTGCCCGCTGGCTCAAGCACATTTCTGAGGACTCCTAAGCTGTTGTTTCAGAAATGCCATTGTTTTCCATCCAAGATCCTTGTTGCTTCTTTTGTGTGGTCACAAAAGCTTGAACAAGAGGGTGATGAAATTGCTGGAAGTGTATACTGATACTTACCATGAGGAGCACTCTTTTTTTTTAGAAAATCCTTCTGATGGGAGAAGCTGTTGTTCCCCCACACCTGGTGGTGTGAGCAACGCTGTCCGTATGAGATGCCCCATTAAGCAACTGAGAAACCTCTGGTGATCCTTATCTTGTAGCATCAACTCCAGAGTCCTGGAAAAATCCCGTTGGGTAATTTCACTCTACCCCCTTAAATCCTTCTGTCAGTGAGAAACATGCAAGGAGTTTTCCTTGCCCCAAGCTCTTGTGCAGCCCTGCTGTGAGCTATTAGAGAAATGACATATATTACTGCTGAGCTGGGAGGAGACCTTCCATTTCAGGGAAGGCTGGAGTGTTACCCGTCTGCAAATTCACACGAAGCAGCTTTGGGGTAAAAAAAACCCAACAACACAAAACCCACCACCACAAAAGCATGTCAGAAAAAAAGTGAAATTAGTTGTTTCTCCGTTATCTTTTTCCCTCATCTACCGGTAAGCTTGAAAACAAGATGCTAACCAAGATCAAATTTTGAAGTCATGTTATTTCTGGTTTTGCAAAATCAAATGAATTTTCAGTCATGGCCCAAGACCCCTGCTGTGCTTGGTGCTGTTTATGCACCCAAAAAGTCCATTCCTGCCCTAGAAAGATTTGAATCGACCTGGGCTGAAGTGAGCCTTGCTTGAGGCAGAACGTGAACTTAAAGCACAATAACTAGTTTCAAGTAACTTCGTGTGTGGCTGCATTTAGGAGAGGATTTATTCTTGGAATGAGTGAAGAAACCCTAAATAATGTTGTCATTGATTCATCTGGTTTGCTCCTGTGGTTTGCAGTTAGTGATAAGCACTTCAGGCTTTTTCCTGGGCTGGCAAGGATGAAAGTACCCTTGAGGAGGTGACCTTGAAGCCATTAAACTGTATTGTTCGTGTTTGGCAACGGCCCTGATTATCCCAGAAGGGAACTGAGGGAGGCTTGAGGAGAACCAGTGATGATCCATCGTCCCCCTCACTGAAGACTCCAGTTGTGAATCTGAACGGACTGGCAGAGTATTCCTGCAGAGAGAATCTGGCTGCCTGTTCCCTGCAGTTACAGCACATTGTTAGGAAATAAAAGCTCGGAGAACATAATTTCGTGGAAACGTTTTGCAGTGTGAATTTTTTTTTCCCTCCCATCTTTGTTTATCTCCCATTTTAAGTGGGCGTAATTAAAGGTTAAGCTTTTGAGAGTCTTTGCAGCCTGTAGGTTCATCTTCGCTCTCCTGCTTTGGGCAAGGACTTTGCTAATCACAGTGTGACTCATTGGTAACTGAGGTTGTTCAAAGTGAAGGGAACCTGGTCCTGACACATGGATTCCTGTCCTACCTTGTTCACCTGACACTGTCTCCTTTCTTCCATCTAATTTCAGAGCAATCAGCGAGTTGACCTGTATAAGTGGAAGGAAGGTAATGGTGAAGTTTGCACATCGCTGCAAGGACACACACGTGTGATCAGGTGAGGAAGGAGTCGTGCTGTGGACTGCTGGGTGGAAAGCCATGGGTTGTTTCATAGAAGGTGAATATTGTGGTCCTGGTCCTGCTCAGGCTCTGCTTTGAGCCTGTTTTTACTTGCTTTTCTGGACCGTACTGTGTGCCCCTCTGTCATGCCTTCCCATTTGAAGATGACATCAGATGTGAAGTGGCTCACCCTCTCATGGCTCCCCTCAGTATATCAGCTTAGCCTTTGATGGCTTGAGCGTCATTGCCGTAGGCTGCTGTCCTTGTAATGAACAGCAGCCATCAGCTGGGAAACAGCAGCATGTTTGTTAAATGGAATTCCAGTCGTGTTTCTCTGTGATAGCAGCTTAATTAAAGTGGGTAATCCCAGAGTTCAGGTTCACAGTGTGTTATGGTGGTGCAGGGGAGATTTCGGCTTCTGGTTCTAGGGGTGTATTTTAGTGCTGGGCTGGATGATGCAGGGGAAGGACTGTTTTTACTCCAGCTCCTGACTGTGAAAAGTAATCACAGCCCTTAAAGTGGCTGACTGGAGGCTGTTTGTGTCCAGGTGCACGTGGTGAGCCCAACAGAAAGGCTTCCCAGAGTGAGAGGTTGATGCCAGGAATGCGGGGTAACTGGGAACCAGCTGAGACAGTGTCCCTTTTGCTGTGGAGGAAAGAGCACACACACCATAGCTGTAAAGTTCAGGGCTAGCAGGATGCTTTACTGGAATTTACTTAAAAGCATTTCACTGTTTCTTGGAATTTACTTAGAGAAATTATTACGATCTTGTTTTTTGCTTAAAGTTTCAGCAGATGTCATGGAGTGGCCACAGGCTTGTTGGAGGAATGTACTGGGGGCTTGTGAGAAGCTGATGCCAACTGCATATGCGTTTCTCTGCTGACCTGCTATGATTTTGCATTTACAGTGACTTGGACTGGGCAGTGTTTGAGCCAGACCTGCTGGTCACCAGTTCTGTTGACACGTACATCTACATCTGGGACATCAAGTAAGAATCAGTATGTTTCTGCACTGTGGGGATATCATTGGACTCCTTTCCATAATTAAGAGCTTGCAGGGCAAAGCATGTGCTGGTCAGGGCACTGTTCTTCAGCTGTGCTTGCAACCACTTCATCTGCTTCCCGTCATCTCAAAGATGCCTTCTGTTCCACTGTTTTCAAGCCGGTTCAGAGTCAGTGAAGGAGGCTGGAGTGGTATGGTTCAGTCATGCTCCTGATTGGAAGAAATATCAACTGGCTTCACTTCTCATTTCACATCTTTCCTTGGGAGCTTTTCCTGGAACCCAAGGGTGATCCTCAACCTGATGGGTTTTTTAGCTGAGTAAATGAGCACCATTTCATGATCCCGCAGCCATTTTCTACTAAATTCAGAGATTGTTGCTGGCTCTCCCTCAGTGGGAAGACTGGCAGTGGCATTCAGGCACCTTTCCCTGTTTGTGCCTTCCCTTGATTCCTGGTGCTTTCTATCATGAATAGTTTCAGGGTAACAGACCTTTCCAAAACTACCAATAATAAAACCCCGTAGTTGACACCTGAGAAGCAAGGAGCTGGCACTGGGACTGCTGGGTTCCCTTGCTGGCTGTGCAGCAACTCTTTATAACCCCTGGCAAGTCACTTTGTTCCTCTGCCTCCCCTGTTCAGTTATGATAGGAGGATAATTATATAAGCCCACTGCACCAGGCTACCCTGAGGCGTGTTTAACTTCTATGAAGCACTTAGATCCTTGGTTAAGTGCTGCTTGAGAATGGCAATATATTATTAATGTGTAATTAAAAGACATAGAGAGACAATAACTGCTGGTTGCGCTTTCCTGCGATGCTACCTTAGTGCCAAGCAAAAAATTTAGTTCTCTGAAGGTTGTTATCAGAAGCCTTGCTTTAACCTGTTGTGTGCTTCCATACTTTGGTATCTGTGTGTATCTCTTGTCCAGAAACGCTTGCTTAGGCAGTGTCTGACCAGCCTTTACATCCCACCTGTGCTAGTAAGATCTCCAGACTTTCTGGGACAGTGCAGTCCT